AGTAGCTATCTTACACATTCCCTAGCATGGACATGTTCGTGCTTCCAGTTCTTTATCAGCTGTTGATATATTTCAATTGGTATTCCATCAATTTCTGAAGACCTTTTTTAGACAAATACCTTCACTGCAACATGGACTTCTTTCTTCCTTCAGCACCATTCGTTCTTGTTCATATCATAATTCTTGAAATGATGAAATGTTGAAATGGTGGAATGTTGACTGGTTCTTTGGGTATAGTGACTATGTATTTTTTTTTCCATTTTGGGGGGTACTTCCTACATCATTCAATATTTTGCCCATAGAATCTTTCAATATTGAAACTCCAGACTTGAATTTTTTCTTGAACTCTTTCAGTGTCAGAAATGCTGAACATATCCTTCTTTTTTGACTTTTTACCTCTCGGTATTTTCACATTTCATTATAATATTTAACATTGTCTTCTTGAGCTGCACTTTGAAAACTTCTCTTCAGCCTTTTGACTTTATCATTTTTTCTATTTGCTTTAGGTACTCTATAATTTAGAGAAAGTTTCACAGGTCTTATGACATCTTCTTTATCTTTTCTTTCTTTATATCTTTTAAATTAACTTTTGTTTTATCAGGTCTCCTGTCATTAGTGTCAAATGCATCAAACTTGTTCTTGAGATATTCTCAAAATTCAAGTGGGATATACTCAAGGTTGTATTTTGGCTCTCATCAGCTTGTTTTGATTTCTTCAGCTTCCACTTGAACTTATATGTGACCAATTGATGATAGTATGCACCACAATCAGCCTGTGGCCTGGCTTTAGATGCTGATGTTTAGCTTTCCCATGGCCTCTTCTCACAGATGTATTCGATTTGATTTCTGTGTTTTACATATGGAGCAATCCATGTGTATATTCAACTGTGTTGTTGAAAAAAGGTATTTGCTAACAGAACAAGTCATTTTTCTTGAAAAATTCTAGCATGTAATCTGCAGCTTAATTTCTATCAACAGAAATTATTTTCCAACTAGTGTCCCTTCCTCTATATTCCAATTTTACATACCAATTACCAATAATTATCAATACATATTAATTACATGTTTGATCAATTTCAGACTGAAGATTATGGCAGAATTCTTTAATTTCTACATCACTAAATTTTGTGGAAGGTGCATAAATTTGAATAGTAGTTGTATTGAATTGTTTTACTTAAAGGTGGATAGATATAATCCTATCAAAGTCATCACTGTACTTCAAGATTTGTTTTGAAATGAGTCTTTTGACAATAAATACAACTCCATTTGTTTTGATTGCATCATTCCTGGCATAGTGGATCACACATTTTTGACTCAAAATGGTCAATACCAGTCCATTTCAGTGCTCTAATGCCTAGAACATCACTCTCTATTCATTTATTTTATTTTTGTCGACTTCCAATTTTCCTAGATTCATAAATCACACATTTCAAGTTACTGTCATTAATAAATGTTTGCAGCTGTTTCTTCTCATCTTTCGTCAGGTGCCATCAGCCAATGGAGACTCCACTCCCATGGGCTTTACTCCACTCCTGTCACCATGGTGGATTCCACTCTGAGAAAGTCATTCCTCCTCAGTCACATTTTGAGTGTCCATGACATAAACTGCCATCCTCTGGTACTATCTCAGACAATGTTCTGTTTCCATTTATTAGGCCTTCAGTATCTGACAATGTTTCAAAGATGTTGATAAAATTTTCAGTAGC